TTTTTTTTTTTTTTTGGTGTTGAGTGAGTGTGTGGGAGTAGAGAAGGCGCAGAGGAAAAACGAGTAGAAGTCAAAAACGGAGAGGCGGCAAAGAAATAGGGAGGGAGGTGGCTGCTGACAGAGGCGCCCCGTGAAAGACCACTCCTTCAATTATTTTGCTCGTTGTTGTTGATTGTTTTTCGTTTGCCCTTCTTTAAGCCCCTCGGCATTCATACGTGTAACCTTACGCGAGGCCGAGGTACTCGGTACTCCGCCAGCCCCGTCCTGCTGTGTTGGGAAAGCTGAAAGGCGAGCAGGCACACACTACTATGTGTGTTTATGTATGTATGCGCCTTTTCTCCCCATATGCATTCATGTTACACTTTCTCTGTTGCCCCATTGTCATTCTTCTTCCTTCTCCCGTGTTTTTTTTTTGGCTGTCTGTGTGTGCTTTGGTTCCGTGGAGGAAGAGGCTCTCCGGTCCAGGAGGAATTCTCCGTTAAGGAAACTCAAAAGGGAGAATAGACGGAGGGAGCGGTGGTGTGGAAGGAACGCGAGCACTGGGTCTGCGTGGAAACGAAAGGTTAGAGGGGGAGGGAGAGAGAGAGTGAGAGAGTCGAGGAGTTTTTTTTTTGTGTGTGTGTCGTTATAACACAACGACAGTAGGCGCAGCAATAACAACAACAAGAAGCATGGGTCACAGTGTGCGAAATCTGTCAGAGCTGCAGCGGGAGGTGAGCCAGCTGGATAGCCGCTACACATTGGAGAAGGTAATTGGCGCCGGCTCGTACGGGATGGTGATACGTGCGCGTGACATGCTCAATAACAATGAGCTCGTAGCGATTAAGCGCGTCAACAAGGAGATATTTGAGGAGATGATTCTCACGAAGCGCATCTTGCGTGAGATCAAACTTCTCGGCCACTTCAACGACGAGAACATCATTGGTCTGCGGAACATTCTCACCCCGCTCGACCGCGACTCGTACGACCACTTATACATTGTCATGGAGATCATGGAGACAGACCTGAAGCAGGTGCTGCGCACCGGACAGGTGCTGACGGAGGCGCACATCCAGTTCTTCATCTACCAGATCCTGCACGCGCTAAAGGTGATCCACGCCGCTGGCGTCATTCACCGCGACATCACCCCTGCGAACATTCTAGTCAACCAGAACTGCGACCTGAAGCTATGCGACTTCGGCCTTGCGAAGGAGGAGAACGACCAGGGCGAGTACATGACGGACTACGTGACGATGCGCTGGTACCGCGCCCCGGAGCTCGTCATGGAGGACCGCAACTACTCGGCGCAGATCGACGTATGGGGTGTCGGCAGCATTCTCGGCGAGCTGCTCGGCTCGCGCCCGCTGTTCCAAGGCAAGGACCGTGTGAACCAGCTCGACAAGATCATCGAGGTCATCGGCACGCCGTCGGAGGAGGACATCAACTCCGTCGGCTCCCTCGCGGCGCAGAAGTACCTCAAGAAGAAGTCGACCCGCGCGCCGCCGGACTGGCGCGCAAAGTATCCGAAGGCATCCGACGACGCCCTTGACCTGTTGCAGCGCATGCTCGTGTTCCACCCCGACAAGCGCATCACCGTCGATCAGGCGCTGCGGCACCCGTTCCTCGCAGACCTCTACGACGAGCGTGACGAGAACCTCAGCATTGCACTCTTCAGCTTCGACGAGCAGGAGCAGAAATCGGTGCAGGATGTCAAGCGGGCGGTGTATGATGAGAGTGTGAGGTTCCACAGTGAGTATCCCGCGACGGCTCCACACAACCAGCAGGTTCAGCAGGGCTGTACAGGTGGCTCGTCACTCCCATCGATGGACATCACTGGTGAGGGCCGCTCCGCGCAGCAGACCATCGAGAAGGATGAGTCAATTGAAGCAAATAATGGTTGCTTCGATGAAGTTTTAGCGTCAGCAGCGGGGCCGCTGTAGAAGCATCAACAGCAGCGTCTGCAACAACAACAAGGAGAAAGACAACGCCATTAACACGAGCCCGAAGAGGAATGATATGAGGAAGAGGGAATTTATAAATGTTGATGAAAGAGAAGAAGGGTCAATTGAACGAGAATCAAAAAGGAGAGAAAGAAGGAGAACGAAAGTGATAAAAAGGAAGGAACTGGATTGGGGGAGAAGAGGGCACAAACGAAAAAAAATGAGGGAAAAAGAAAAATATGTATGCTCCTTCCTCCCTCTACCACAGTTATGCGAACGTGCAGGAACACAAACACAAGTACACACACGCGCACACATGCTCTCTCCAACCCATCTATGCACATACGGCATGAGCCATATATACATATATATATATATATATATATATATATCTATATACATGTATGCGTCTCCTCACGCGGCTTCTCTCTTTTTTTGAGGGTGTGTGGGTGTGCACGGAGGGGGAAAGCACCTCCACATTGAGTAGGTGAGTTCTGGTTGAGTGAAGAATGGGGACAGAATTGAGGACTCGTAAATTCATCGAGAAAAGGGTCTTCGTTCAGTTGTGTGTTGTTCTGAATGCGTTTTTAATACTCCGCATTACTGTGTTCTTTTAACAATGGAGAAAACAAAAGAAAGAACTTTTTTTGCTTTCTTCTCATCGCTCATCGACTCGAGATAGTCTTTCATCTTCTTTGGGACCAGAGCAGTGTATGTGTGCCCCAAACTACTGCCGGATACAGAAAAGGAGATAACAAGAGGGAATGAATTGGTGCACGCGCCCGTGGGCGACAAGGCGATTATTTTGGATGGGGTTCATGGTGATTTGAAGGGTCTGCCCTGTTGGTGTNCTCTGTGTGTGTGTGTGTGTGTGTGTGTGTCTTTTGTCGTCTTTCAGGAGGCTTTCACTGGCTTTCCCATGTGATCTGGCAGATATGAACATGTCTCTGTTGTGTGTTTTCTTTGTGCTTGTGCCCCCTTGCCTTGGCATCCGCGTCTCGCTCTTTCCGTGTGCGTCTGGCGACGGCACAAACCAGACCGCGTTGTGTGGAGGCGGGGTCGTACTCGTCATAACTGTGGTAGTAGTCCTATTAGTACTAGCAGTAATGGTCTTGGCGTGCCGGTGGGCGGGCTGCCGCGGTGTGCTGCTGCAGAAGAAACAGACGGCGGCAAGCTATATGGCAAGCGCGGGAAAGGTGGGGAGCGATGAGAAGTGGGCGCAGGCCGCGATGGAGTACCTCCACGAGAAGCGTCACTGCAACGACAGCAGGAAGCGTCAGCACGATGTCGATGGCGAGCGCCGCACCGCGTTTGCTTTTGACCGCTACTGTGCTGTAAACGAGCGGGCCTTCGCCGCACGTCTGTCGCGCCTCGCCGCCCGCATGACGGAGGCGCTCGACGCGATGACGGCGCTCGGTATGACACACGCATGCGAGGAGGCGCTTCTGATTTCGTCAGAGCAGCCGCCGTGTAGCTACCGCCGTCCCTCGCTGACGCCGCCAGTGCCGGCGTACGAGCCCGGCTACGGCCTTGACGTGCCGCAGCTGCGCTCGCAGCAGGCGGAGTACCCGCCGACGGTGCGCCCAAGCGACGCGTTGGAGTTCGGCGCCGACGCGGACGCGATGTTCCCGTTTGTGGAGGCGTACCGCGTGGAGGACCTCACTGCACAGTGCACGCGGGAGCTGGAGGAGCGCCATGGCGAGATACGCGAGGCCGCACCGCTGACGGGCGTGGAGGGCGAGGCGTGGGAGGCGTACGTCGCGCTACAGAAGAAGGCGCTTGCACGGCAGCAGCTCATCTTCGACCTTTTCAACGACGCCGAGCTGCGGGAGCGCTACGACGCGGATGCAAGCTTCAGGGAACAGCAGTGGGTGCAACGTGGCATGCTGCCATTGGAGGTGGAGGAAGAGCGACTGCGTGAGACTGAGCGGCACTACGCACAGGAACCAGCATACCACGCATTTAGAAGAATATAAGGATGAGGATGAGAAGCATGTCCACTCATGTGTCCGTTGGTGGCGTATGTTTTCTTGTTGACAATATCACGCATTGAACTTATTTGGCCCCTTTGTTCGCTTCGTTGCTTAGTTGTCACCACTTATCTTTGCCTTTTTATTGTGTATCTCCTAGCTGGCTCTTTTTGTTTTTTGTTTTGTTTCGGGGAGAGGGGCAGGGGAGGAGGAACTGAAGGTGAGCGAGTCGAACACATCGAAGAAGGGAAAGGGAAGGTAAAAACACCAGTTTGGATTCCCTCTATTCATTCACCCCCCCCCCTCCTCAGTCACGCGCCAAATAGGCCCGTACGCGCTCACAAATTACACGCAGAAGGAAGGCATGTACTACAGACACGCCGAAGACAACGCGACACGTGACACGCCGATTAGCTCTCAACGCACCGTTGTGGAGTTCTCGGCGGGGGCTCACACTGCTGCTGCGTCGACAGCGGAGTGGCCGTGGGGTCTTCTCTTATCCGACAAGCATCACGTGCTTTGCCCGTCGGACAGGCAGCGCATCACAGTAGGGCGTTCGCCCGAGTGCGACATCGTCGTGGAGGACCCGCGAGTCAGTGCTGTCCACTTCGCCCTCATCCGTTCCATTGAGGTGCGTGTGCCGCCGTCTGGTGGGCAGGGCCATATGCACCACCGCACTCGGCTTCGTCAGCTCCACGAGCTGTCGGACCCCGCGATGGCGCCGCGGGCTTCGCCCAGCAGCTGCGCTTCTACACAACTGCACAACGATGTCGCAGGTGAAGTCACGGGGACGCCACATCACAGTGTGGCGGAGGTTAAGGTGTATCTTGAAGATCTCAGCAGCAACGGCACATATGTGAATGACACAATAGTGGGAAGGGGCCGTTGCTGCCAGCTGCAGAGTGGGGATGACATTGGTGTGATGGCCCTTCCGTCCAAGATATCTCGTGCTGAGGTGGATGCAAACGGTTTGCAACGGGTAAGGGATGTCGCGTCCGCTATCCCAGTGAGTGAGGTGGCGCTTTTGGCAAATCTACCACAAAGCCGATCGTACGTGGAAAGGTTTTGCTTTCAGGCCTATCAGCCGCATGACATCGGCGCAGCGCACGGCCCTGTGGAACGGCGGCAGCAGAAAAAGACGAAGCGGCTGAGTCCGTGCGGGGACTTGGCACTCCTTCAGAGGTCCACGCTGGCGCCGCATCGTCCGCTCCGCTGGCAGAAGGGTAGCCCCATCGGGCGTGGCGCAAGCAGTGTTGTGTATGCTGTTATAGACGTGTATACTGGTCGGATGTACGCGATGAAAGTTTTTCGACGCGCCAACGGTTCCTCCACGTCGAGACGTGCCTCCCCTGAAATGTGTAGCGGCTCTTCATGGCAGTCCGAAGCGAGATCAAGGGAGCTGTTGTCTTCTGTTGATTGTCCTCAAGAGTTGAATGATGGCACTCATGGGTGTATTGCCGAAGTTGATGAATCCCTACGAGAGTTGTACTTTCTCACCTACCTCGTGCACCACCGTATTGTGCAGTGTGTCGGGGTGCAACGGATCCCTGAGGGGGTGTGTATAATTTTGGAGTACGTTGCTGGTGGAACGTTAAGAGATCTTATTAGAAACTTTGGGGCCTTTGATGAACGCGTCATTCGTCTCTATACACTGCAGGTGCTTCAGGGCATGGATTACCTTCAGGGGCGAGGCGTAGTTCATGGTGACCTCAAATGTGCCAATGTACTCATGTCTGAGAGGGGGAGTCTTAAAATTACCGATTTTGGTACAAGTCGGTTTGTGCAAACCACCTACGCTTCAGAGATCAATGAGGGGAATCGTCAATGGGGACTTGGCTCTCGATCGTCTCACGGCGCCGAGAAGACACTATGTGGAACACCAATCTACATGAGTCCAGAGCTTATCAAGTCGCAGGAGTCCACCTTTGCCTCGGACGTCTGGGCGTTGGGATGCATGGTGTACGAAATGGCAATGGGCGTCCCTCCGTGGGAGGAGCTGCACGGCCTGCCGCCGCATACTGTTGTGTGGAGCATTGGCAGAGCAATGGAGGGGCCGAGTTTGGCGCGTCTGCGTCAGCACGGCGCCAGTCCCGCTCTGCTTAACTTCCTTGAGTGCACCCTTCACATAGACCATCATCAGCGCCCGTCGGTGGCCGAGCTGTTGAAGCATCCCTTCATCTCTGGGCAGACACCGCTCTCCTGGTCTACGCCGCGCTCGATGTTCCCTTCTACACCGCCAAATTGGGGCCAGGGGGCGAGCCCACCTATGCTACAGATGCAGCCGGTGCGTAAGATGGTCTGCGGCAATTGTGAGGGTGGTGACGAAAATGCCGTATCACATGAAGCTGAGGGAAATCATAGCTTCAATGACATGATGGTGCTTGGCGGTGATAGTAGCGATCTCCAGCAGCAGCAGCAACTAGACCCGCATTCATTGCCATTCCCCTCCGGTCGTCTATCATCATTGGATTTGGGGGCACCAATGATGGTGGCAGCACTGCCACAATCTGAAGGGATGAGCAAGGACAGAAAGACTGTATCACCCACACCTCATGCAACAGGAGTTGAGGATCATAAAGCCTTTGTCTATGGTCTCTGCCGCAAGAAAATAATGGCAACTGAAGATGCAGGTGAAGCGTTAGAAAGCTTGCGAAAAGGTCTGGGTGCAAACACACAAGGTAATCGGTGTTTTCAGAAATTGAGCCTAAATGATGCAGCTTGTTTGCACCGGAGGCGTATTAGTAACAATAATAGCAGCAGCAGTGACGGTGCCGAGAGTGGTAACGCCATCCGCCGAGGCGCTGATTCAGCTGACGGCACCATGCAACTCGGAGACTATAGTGTTACAGCAGATTTTTCGGGTCTGACGCAGCTTTTTAACGATTAGCGGTGTGACGTGTGAACTTCATCAAAGGGTCTTTTTTTTTTTATTGCTCCCTTGTTGTTGTTGTTGCTATTGTTATTGTTGTTGTTTGTTTGTCTGCGTTTATTTCTTAGAAAACACTATTTGATTTTGTTGGCCTTCTGGTCTCCCCTATTCATCAAGCGTCTTGTGTGTTTTTTCTTTTACTTCGAGACTAGATTTCATATGTCGTGCTCAACACACTTGCGTAGGGAACGGGGAGGGAGATGTGAAACAATGGCGAATCAAAGGAGAAAGAAATGTGGTGAGCAAATAGCGTTTGTGTATGACACTGATAATTGCGGTGTGTATTTCTTTATTTGTATAACGGCTCGGTTTTCATAATAAGAGATAAGTTCTTATCTCTTTTTTTTCCTTGTGGTTGTTGTTGGGGTAGGTGGCTGTTTGTATTTGCTTCTTTCCTTGTTATTTGCTTTGATCTGGCGTATGCACTTCATTTCTCCTTCTCTCTATGTATTGTTTGGTTGAGTCTGACAAGCAGGGAGCCACAGAGGAGTTAGTCCGGGGCAGACACACGCGCACGCATATATACACACAGGGGGACGGAGGGAATAATACGCTTCAGCGTCCGGTATTCATTTGTTTTCATTCGGCAGTGCTTCGTTTTCTTTTGAATTTGTCCGTGTGGGGTTTGGTGAGGGGAAACTGCCTTGGCTGGCACGTGGCAAGAAGGAGGACTCCGTCCAGTTGATCCTTCGAATACCTATTGTGGGTTTCTGTGTGTCTCTCTCTCTCTGTGTGTGTGTGTGTGTAAATTTAATTCATTCGAAGTGAAGAGGGGGGTGGAAAGTCGTATTATTTTAAACGTTTAAGCTGTATTTCTCTTGTGATGCATCAAGGGAGTGTGCTGGGTGGCGCATTGACGCTCGCTGTGACGACGATGGGCGCCGGCATCCTCACGCTTCCCTCCGCATTCTCCAACGCTGGTGTGGTGCCTGCGCTGGCTATGTTGATCCTTGTAGCCCTCTTCACAATTGCATCGATCGATTACATGGTGCTCTGCATTGATACCATTGGTGTGAATTCATATGAGCAGATCAATCGTGTATTGTTGGGTAAGTACAACGAGGAGATTGTCCGGTGGATGCTGCTTATTTACAACACTGGTTCCGCCATCGGCTACCTTGTTGTACTCGAGGATCTCATTGAGCCGTTGCAGCCTCTCATATCGCATTACATCCCGTGGCTCAGCACAACGAAGCACACGCTTTTTGTCTGCTGGTTTCTTGTTGTTTTGCCTTTATCGTGCGTGAAAGACATATCCTTCCTTCAGGTCGCGTCGGTCCTGGCCATCTCGGCGACGTGTCTGATTTCATTTCTTGTGGTATTCCGTTACTTCGAACCCATCGACAACAGTCTTGTCAACAACGGTGTAGGCGTGGCCATTTCCTCGTCAGATGTCGTGTATGACGATGTCTTGTGGCTCCGTGGCAAGCAGCCGCTGCTGGCGTTACCCATCATGATGTTTTCGTTCGATTGTCAATCGCTTGTCTTTCAAATCTATTCCAGCCTGGACAATATGAACCGGTGGAACATGATGAAGGTCGCCATGATCAGCCTCATCGTGTCCGGCAGCATCCACGCAGCGGTGGGGTTGTTCGGCTACCTTGGCCACCCAACAGATGTCCGTGAGAATGTAATGAGCAACTTCAACCCGAGGATGGACTCACTCTTCGCATTTGGCTACTTGGTGTACGCCATTCCCGTAAACCTGGCGTTCACCCTCATGCTCTTCCCTACACGTGACGCCATCTTCCTCATGTGGTACGGCTACAGCTCCGCCACGGAGGCGGCGAATAGGGGATACGTGGCGCACGGCGGCATGGAGGAGTACGACGAGTACCAGCACGGCATNACAGCTCCGCCACGGAGGCGGCGAATAGGGGATACGTGGCGCACGGCGGCATGGAGGAGTACGACGAGTACCAGCACGGCATTCCACTGCGTGACCACCTTATCGTTAGTGTCTCCCTCTCTGTTGCCTGTATCACAGCAGCTCTCATGGCGCCGGGCATTGCATCTGTTGTCGCGATATTGGGTGGTGTATGCAGCAGCACGCTATGCTTCACATACCCTGCTTTGTACCGCATTCGGTTGGACAGAGCCGGCATTGTGCGGTGCGAGACGTCTTGGGAGCGTCTATTGATGTGGACAATGTTGGTCTTTGGCCTCGTTGGTGGGGTTCTTGGGACCGCCGTGGCGCTGATGGAATACATTTAGCGTTTTCTGCGCGTCAGTGGACGAAGAGAGGGAGAGAGAGATCTAATGGGAGTTCATGGGTGTGTCTGTGCGTGTAGTTATTGNCAGTGGACGAAGAGAGGGAGAGAGAGATCTAATGGGAGTTCATGGGTGTGTCTGTGCGTGTAGTTATTGTTGTTGACTCTACTCATGGTGGTGCTGAAGATGCATGATTGACTGCCGCTGTGAAAAGCATGCGGAAATCAGCCTGTGGGGAAATGTGAACCGGTGAAAGACATGCCCGGCATGTGGCTGCGTAAAATAATTCCACATAAGTGTGCATGGAGAGAAGGGATGAAATATTTATGTTGCTCCTTCATCTAAAAACAGTCGTGTATTGGTGTAAGTATATATATATATATATATATATATA